CCCAGTGGGTTCACCTCCACCCATGTACGTACTCCCATTTACGGCTCCCAGACTCCCATGTATGGCGTCGGCTCCAGGACACCGATGTATGGATCTCAGACTCCGCTGCACGACGGTAGGCCACGGTTTGGTCGTCCTCTATCTGCTAAAAGCACGTGTTTGTTTTTTGGGTTTGTGTTCCTCCGATTGAATTTCTGCTTCTCTTTGTAACAGATGTGTTACAGTGTTATCGTTAGGGATGGGTATCGTTTAGGTTTTATCTGATACCGGTGCCAAACTGGTACTTTTGAAACGGTGCCGGTGCTTAAACGGTGCTTAAAGAATGGAGAACACAAAACTGGTCCAAAAACTTCTCATGTTCAGCTGGTTTTTGTAAAAAGATAACAATGTGTGCCTTTTCTGCAGCTATGGGGCATATATGGCATCACTCTTGGCTGGAAGCAGTGCTTAACAATGGAAAAAACACAAACTTTGTCCAAAAACCTCATGTTTAACTGTTTCCCAATTATTCTTTGGTCATTTTAGCCTTTTTGGCCAGGGTGAAGGGAGATCTGCCATCAAACAAGAACACAGCGCATGTAGCTATGATGATGTTTGCTAGTTCACCTTACATGCATTAATGTAATAACGTGGTTAGCCTACTCAACGTAAATTACACACGAACAACATTAAGCTTCTCACGCAGAGAAGAACGGCTGCTGCTGCATCATCATCCTCATCATTTCTGCTACACTGGCAGGGCTAGGGGCCAGGACTCTCCTCTTCGGGTTCTTGGGGGATGTTGCTAACTCCGGGTCCGATAACAGGCACCACACCCGCAGTAGATGGCTCGGTGTGAGGTCTCGCAGCAAGCTCTAAATACGGCGCATTTCTGGGCTTTTTAAAAAAACGCTATGCGTCGCCAGCTGTTTAATCGATTGAGGGTTACCTCCTTTGACAGTATCACAGTATCAGCTTAAAGCACTTGTTGCTGCTGAGTTTGCATCTTTTGCTGTGAAGTACAGCCAGACTTTGACCGCTTCGCTTTGGACATTTTAAATCTGTAGCTCTGCTCTAAAAGAACGTACGTACCTGGACCCGCCTACTATCCTCGGAAACGTAAAATGATTGGCTAGAAGTGTATCACAGCTCAGGAAAAAAAGCACCGAAATGTGCGCTGCTTTTCGATCTGGTTACTACTGTTTATGTCAGAACCGGGACCCATCCCTAGTTATCAGTATTCAGTTTGTGTTACCAGGTGGGAGCAAGAACAGCAGTGGGCGGAGCTGTTGGTTCATCAGTGAATATATTGATGATTAATGGATGAGTTCATTGTTTGTAAAGTAGCGCCTCACTTTTCTCTGAGCCTGGCTCTGATTAAACTGAGGTCCGCCTTTAGTTGAAGTTTAACCAGTAACCTCCTCTAGTTTGAACTGGTGGTGGTGGTCCTTTAACTCGTCACCTGAGGGTCTGAAGCTAAACGCAGCTGACTGTTGGTGCTCGTATAAAGTTGCTTCGACTTGTACGTCTTACGTCCAAATGCGACGTGCCCGTTAAAACAAGGGGAGCTGGTGCTGACACTGGACCGTAGAGTGGGCGTGCGTCATGACTGTGTCATCAGCATAGAGGTGACTGTCCTCACCTGTGAGCAGCACAGTGCTCTCGCCTCTAACTCACAGCATCTTTTGCCTCCTAACAGGAAGCCGTACGCCCCACTATGGATCTCAGACCCCACTGCATGATGGGAGCAGGACTCCAGGTCAGAGCGGAGCGTGGGATCCCAGCAACCCCAACACACCGTCCAGGTGACGCAGTGACCGGTAAACACAGCGTTCCCTTCTTTTTTTCTTCTTTCTGTCTAACACGTGATTTATTTCTTCTCAGAAATGAGGAAGACTACGACTTCGGCTACGATGACGAACCCTCTCCGTCCCCTCAGGCCTACGGGACGACCCCCAACCCTCAGACCCCGGGTTACCCCGAGGTCCCCTCGCCACAAGTCAACCCTCAGTACAACCCTCAGACACCTGGCACGCCCGCGATGTGAGTATAAGGCACAGAAACACACCCTCGCCCTCCCCTCCATAGCTGACGTAGCGACATAGCTGATCTGGGTCCTCGATTCTCGATTTGTATATTTGTGTTTCTGTGTGCAGGTATAACACAGAGCAGTATTCTCCATATGCGGCCCCGTCCCCTCAGGGCTCCTACCAGCCCAGCCCCAGCCCTCAGAGCTACCACCAGGTGGCGCCCTCACCTGTCGGCTACCAGAATACGCACTCACCAGCCAGCTACCACCCCACGCCGTCCCCCATGGCTTACCAGGTAGACAACGACGCTGAGCTGCTCGGGCTTTCCCTGAATATTTGTGTTCTGGGGTTTTTTTTGTATGTTTTTTTTAAGATTTCTTTTGTTAATCAGAGTTTGGATGAAGGGCGGGCAACTCCAGGCCTCAGGGCTGGTGTCCTACAGGTTTTAGATGTGTCCTCGATCCAACACAGCTGATTTTAAACGTTCTCCAGAGGCCTGGTAATGAACTAATCATGTGATTCAGGTGTGTTGACTCAGGGTGAGATCTAAAACCTGCAGGACACCGGCCCTCGAGGCCTGGAGTTGCCCACTCCTGCTTTAGGACCTTTCTGTTTGTGGAGGTCTAGATTTTTCTGAAATTTGTTCTCAGTCTGCGTCATGTCATCTGCACAGGCGAGTCCCAGTCCGAGTCCCGTGGGCTACAGTCCCATGACGCCCGGAGCGCCCTCTCCTGGAGGCTACAACCCTCACACCCCAGGCTCCAACATCGAGCAGGGCGGCAGCGACTGGGTGACCACAGACATCCTGGTCCGAGTGAAGGACTCGTTCATGGACCTGATGGGGCAGACCGGGGTCATCCGCAGCGTCACGGTGAGTCTGAACACTTGGCGCGCAGCAGCGCTGATGGCGTCCTCGCTCCCTGCGAGTCTCTGATATTACTGAGAAATGTTTTTTGGGAGATCTGGCTGCGCTCGAGCATAAAATGTTGTGAAATGTGTGAAAAATGTTATTCTGGGAGTCGGAGACGCAGCTCTCGCACACAATGATCTGAGGTGTTATTAGGGACGTGCAGATGTTGCTGCTTAGAACCGCATCACAGTTGTGAAATGTCTCCAAATTCGCCGAGAGCTTCAGAGCCATCTGGTTCTGCTTCCTGCTTCCTGCTGCTGTTGGATGGCGGCTCGCTGGATCAACATAAATGCTCCTTTATAAACACAAAAGAAAGCGTTTCTTCACAGGAGGCGTTAATCTGTTCCATATCGAGTCCTGACTCAGGAAGTCGTGTTTGTCACAACAGGCGGAGCTGAATCATTTCTGAGTAACTCTGACAGCGATGTTCCTCTGGCCTCCCGCCCACGGTGTTTAGGAACACGCCTCCGTTACTGTCGAAAGTCAGAAACATTCAAGTGTTTGACGGATTTCACCGTTTAGCGCACAGACAGCTTTGGCCTCAAACTCTGCTTACGTGTGGACAGGAGCACAGACATGTGCACCTTTAGCTCCTTTGTGATGTCAGGCCGTCTGAGGCTTCTGATTGGCCGGCGTGCAGTAACCATTACAGCCGAGCGCAGCTTCGTGAGTGGCGGTGGAGATGAAACGGATTCAGTGTCTTTGTTTACGTCTGAAATTGATTTTAAAGCAGCTCCTTTGAATATTTTTCGTGTGTGTGCGCGCGCGTGTGTGTGCGCGTGTGTGCGTGTGTGCGCGTGTGCGTGCGTGCGTGTAGGGAGGGATGTGCTCGGTGTTCATGCAGGAGTCTGAGAAGGTGGTGAGCGTCAGCAGCGATCACCTGGAGCCGGTCACGCCCACCAAAAACAACAAGGTAAGAACCACAGTCGCGGTTTCTGGCATCCAGCTGTCTGCAGATCGTTCGTTTAGAGCGCGTGTGAGGCTCAACGCTGCGTTCGCTGTGCCCCGTTTCAGGTGAAGGTGATTCTCGGAGAGGACCGCGAGGCCACGGGGATCCTTCTGAGCATCGACGGAGACGACGGCATCGTGCGCATGGAGCTGGACGACCAGCTCAAGATTCTCAACCTGCGGTTCCTGGGCCGCCTCGAGCACTGAGCCTCGCAGAGCTCCCACACAAACGTCTGGTTTTTATTACCTAAAGATCCAAAAACCACATGTGGCTCTGTGTGTGCAGTTCAGCGGGTCTCTCCGTTTTTGGCATTTTTATTTTCTTCTTTTCTTATTAGTGGTCTGAATCTGCTTTTAGTGCTTTTCCTTCATGTTCTGTCTGTGACTTTGGTTTTCTTGATGCAGCAGGATGAAAATAATGTGTAACATGTCAATAAACTGATTCAGTGACATTTCTGTATGTTGTGTCAAAGCCACCAGCCGCTGTCACTGGCTGGGTTGTCATAGCACCGGATAATCAATGCAGTCAGCTGATCAGATTCTGACAGGACAGTTATTTTAGCGGCTCTGACCTTGGGCCTCCGCCATTGTGCAGCTACCAAACGCTGCAGTTCCTGCAACATCCAGCAGAGGCAGCAGTGAGTCCCCACAGACACACTGTTTGGTCTCTGGATGATTTCGTCTTTAACAAGAACACTTTTATAACTCTGCTGTTTAAATCATATTAAGGCTTAAAGTTTGCCTTATTAGGGGCGTGGCCTCTTTGACTGACAGGTGGCTGTAGCTGCTACGTGTTGCTAGGCTTCACCTGAGCTGGTCTGTTTGTGCTGTTGGAGCTTTTTTATTTTTTTATTTTTTCTGATGACATCATGTGACCAATAACGTGGTTGCTGAGGTTACTGTAGTAACAGACCGTCCATGAAGGCGGAGCTTATTAGCAGGTACCTGTGTGACAGCGATATCCAGGTTTTAAGACGAGTGGTCACTTTCTACGTGTTCCACCTCCCCGAGCGTGAAAACCTTTTGATCTTTTTAAGCACAAATAGAGGAGAATCCCAGCAGACATGTTTCTGCTGTTTTCTGGATGACATGATTGACAGGAAGTGACCAGCACTAAAGAAATGACAAGAGAATCTGTAAAAATCACTTTATTGATGGTTTTTATTTTTCACATTTAAGCTCTTCAGACACTTCTTGCAGTATCTGGGGTAAACCTGCTGCTACTCAGGCTCCACCTGTGATGGCGGTGGCGTTAGCCGCAGGGCCGCTGTGGCCGCTCGTGGTTTATGGGGAAATAGTAGAAGGGCACCCGGTCAGGACAGGGGTGCCCTGGGGAGGGTACTGGCCGTGAGTCGGCGTCTTCAGCATCGGTGCAAAGATCGCAGCCTACGGTGAGGTTCCGATTCAGGCGGATCTTCAGCTGAAACCACAGCTCTCTGTCCTGGAGGAGAGACAGCACACTGAGCTACTGACAGCTGCTCCTCACCTCAGCACTCAAAGTTACACTCGTCTCTGTGGATCGAGGCAGCGGCTCGCATTGCAAAAAGACAACATGAAATTACACATTTTGGGACGTGAAGTCATGAAGTTCACACACAGAAGCATCGCGCTTGAAAAAAACATGTGACCGACGTCGACGCAGCTGGTCCTGAGTTTTCTAAAAGAAACTACGATGGGCCACGTTAAGAACATATTCATCATTTTGAGAACAAATTAAAAATTTGGAGATTAATGTGGAAATGTGCAGATTACATTTGTCATACTGCAAAATCAGTTTCAGGTACAATGATTTCTTTCAGCTCAAACACAGAGATGAAAGAAGAAGTGGAAGAGTTGGACACGTTTGTACGGACAGATGCCAGGTTATTGGTGGTTATCGGTGGTTATTGATGGTTACAGCCTCGTGCAAATCAAATCACTTTTCTTGTCACATCACATGTGCAGGTACATTGGTACAGCACATGAGTGAAATTCTTGTGTGCGAGCTTCACAAGCAACAGAGTTGTGCAAAATACAAGAATGGCTACATCTGAAACTAATAAATATATGTACAATATATAATAGTATATGCTGTAATGGAGACTGATGATCGGTGTGTTTCAACAAGGCAGTTTGTCCTGAAACAACAACAGTAATCTCCACATTTCAGCTCCTGACTGCAGCACAGGACGAGCAGCAGATGGAAAAATGCTGAAGCGAGCATTTGAGAAGCATGAAAGCAGTTTGCAATTAGCAAAGGTGCAGTGCAGGAGCTAACAGTGAGCCAAAGAGTGGACATGAGTGTAAACAACGTGTGTCATCAGGGTAAAGGGGTTTCTCGCCCAGCTCGTTAATAAGAACGGACTGAAACAGGCCCCAAAGTTGGATGAAGGTTTTGTTTTAATCAGAGTCCGCAGTAAACTGTTTTATGCACAGCAGACACTCGGCCCAGCGTTAGCGCTGGACGTTTGCTGATTGGACTGTAAATGTAATAAAAGTTACATCAGCTTCTGGCTGGTTTACCGACCAAAATCTGTAAAATGACCATTTTCCACGATTATCTGAAAGACTGTTAGTGTTTCAGTGACTGTGAAAGCATTAACACTGAGGCTTTAAAATGCAAATCAAATGGGTGACATCACATGCTTTATGCCCTCATCTTTCAGATTTTGGTCTAAGTGGCTCTGATTTCCCCAAAGTTCTTCAGAAACTCCTGCAGTCTCACATAGAGAAAACCAGATGCGGTGAAATCTTACATCAAACACAGCAGCGACTCTAAACTCGAAATTCCAGCAAAGACAGTCGTGCAGTCAAGAACGCAATAAATTATTTGTCTGTTCTGCATCTGTAAACACTCCTGCTTGAACATGTGATTGGGTCTAACGTGTTTAGATTAGATTAGATTAGATAGAACTTTATTAATCCCTCGGGTGGGTTCCTCTGGGAAATTCGATTTCCAAAAAAGCACAGCACCGACAGAAGTTACAGAGTTACAGAATATTATTTATATATATATATATATATATATATATATATATATATATAATATATATAAAATACACACACACACACACACACACACACACACACACATATATATATATATAAATACAGAGACAATATAAATAAAATATACGAAGGGGATAAATAGAATAAATAGGAATAAAAATAAAAAATACAAGTGAATTGCACATTTCAAGTATTGAGTCTATTGCACCGCTGACTATTTACAAAAAGTATTGCACAAGGTATTGTACAGTGAGGTGCAGAGGCACTACAGCTTAGTTGTTCCCCCCTCCTTTGTCCTCCTGTTTCCCCTCCCTCTCCCCTCCAGAGAGGAGTTAAACAGTCTGATGGCGTGTGGGACAAAGGAGTTTTTAAGTCTGTTAGTTCTTGTCTTTGGGAGAAGCAACCTGTCACTGAACAGACTCTTCTGATTGTTTATGGCCGTGTGCAGAGGATGCCCAGCATTGTTCATAATGTCCATCAGTTTCTTTAATGTCCTTTTCTCTGCCACTGTCACCAGAGTGTCCAGCTTCATGCCGACCACAGAGCTAGCCCTCCTGATCAGTTTCTCCAGCCTGCATGAGTCCTTTATGAGGTGACTGTATGAAATATGAAAGGCTTTCAAAATAACTGGCACCATCTCAGCTGTGATCCTGGCTGCACACTGTGTATAAAACACAAGCTCTCCTTGGTGGAGGGCAGGCTGCAAATGATATTTGTTGGAAGGAAAGATCTGAACTGAGCAGCATGATCCAGATCTGACCAGTTTCACTCAAACTTTAATGGATGGAGGCCTTGTGGTGTCAGCCAGAGCGCAAACTAAGAGAACTCCGCGGTCAGCGGCTGGAGGAACTCTGAGGACACGACCAACCTCACGAGCCGTCTGATTGGTGGTAGCTGTGTTTGTGAGAGTTGTGATTGTTGGTAACCATCTAACACCGGGGAGAGCTTACAGAGTGAATTCTTCTCCCACGCTCAGATCGACCACAGAGCCTCTTTGTGTTTGGAGCTTTTTGATGTCATCATGTGACCACAGAAGAAAACAGTGCTAGCTAAAGTGAAGTGAAGTTCAGCAGCAGAACGACATGTTCAGGAGAAATGATGGGAACCTCTCAGGAGCCAGAGATGGAGCCACAATGTGCTCAGCATAGCTTAGCATAAAAGCACAGCTGCCCAACCGGCCTGTCTGCATCAAACGTTTTCTCTAATCAGGTGAAAATAAATCCACCTGCACAGGGGGAGGAGCTTTCTATAATTCACCTGTTTAAATTGTATTAAGGCTTAAAGTTTGCATTATTAAGGCAGCTGTAGCTGCTAGCTGCAGCTAACTGGAGTCCCTGAACTGGACCTCTGGGCCGTGTTTGGAGCTCATGTATGAGGCAGATGATCAATAGAGGGTCAGCCACCACTAGGGCTTTCCTGGGACTCTGCACCGTTTGGTTTTAGAACTGAAGAACCTTGAAGAAGTCCAGACGTGTTTCTTTCCAAGTTCCTTAGACGATGATGACCTGGATGACTGTCACAGACACGTCTGCTGTGATCCATGTCAGGAGTTTGCAGCCGCAGCAGCAATAAAGGCTGATAAACAGAATCACTGTGTTTGCTTTGTTTCCTCGAGGTCTTTATGATCATAGCTCACAAGTGTTTGTGGTACTGCTTTGGTTTTACTGCTGTTCATTAATTTTTAATCCAGTCTTTGCTCGTAAATTACCACAAATCTGTTGTTCAAGCTCTGCTTTAAATCTGCGGTCTGTCGGAGTCATTGGTGATTTTAATTCCACACAGACTGAATTGATCAAAGCTCTGATCAGTGTTAGTGCTGTCAGGGTGCTAGGATTAGTGATGTGCGAATCATGAACGAATCGTTCAATACTCGAGAATCACTTTACTGACTCATGAATCATGATTCACAAGCCCAACTGACTCACTGACTCATCCCTGTTGCTGTTAGCAGCAATGTATCTTGTTTATAATTAAAATTTTGGAGAAAAACACAACATCCAGTATCGTAACAAAAAAATTTCTGCTCTGAACTGGAAGACAAAATCCTGAGTAGAAGCTCACATCAAGAAAATAGCTCCTCAGTTCACAGTAGCATCGCTCTGCTAACATGCTAACAGCACATTTGAGCTACTCACCCCCTCCCTCCTGTGCTGAATCATGGAGCGAACGAATCACTCACTCACCCCCGCCCTCTGGCTCACAGCTCAGTGGACATTTAGATGAGAAAATATATATTTAACACATTTAAGGAAAATACTAATAAAATAAAAATATATTAAAATAAAATAAAAATTAATAAATGTTTATTAAGCAATTTTGATAGAAAATTGCTTAATTTTAGAAATGTTTTTGCTCTTTTTTGCTCTATAAAATAGAATCATTCATCTTAGCAGTAGGATTTACATGAAAAGAGAAACAAATTAAGTTTGAGTGAAAATGTACATTTTTTGCACTCTCTGGTCGACTGACTCAGTGAATCAAATGACTCAAAAAACCCGATTCACTTTGGTGAGTGACTCATTAAAACTCGATTCAGTAAAAAGAATCAAATTTACCATCACTAGTTAGGATGCGAGACCTGGGATGAGCTGATATCCTCGTGTTGGTGTTGTTCCCAGACCATCATGAAAATGTTGTTCCAGGTTCAACATTGCAAGTGACCAATCACATTGTTGTGACGTTATTCTTCTGCGCGCCAAGCCATTCGTGCATTTATGAAATTCCAATGTTGCAAGGACAATATCAATTCTGCTTACTGTTTATTAAAGGGTTACGGTTAGGGTTAGGGTCAGGGTCAGGGTCCGTTGATCGGCGGACAGAGGCGGTTTCATGCAGCTTAAGTACAGTTTTTTGTTTTACGCCGGTTTTTCCCAAAGTCGCAAAAGTATGACGTCACAACATTCTGATTGGTCACTTGCAATGTTGATCCTGGAACAACATTTAGTATGATGATCTGGGAACAACACCAACACGACGATATCAGATCAACCGCGAGACCTGGACTGTTAGTTTGTGCTGCAGAAACTGGAAAATATCGGACCAGGAGTGTTTGAATGTTTCAGTCAACAGCAAAGAAGAAGAAACGTGCTAACATGAGAAGCTGAAGCGGAGACAGTGCAGCACATTTACTCTGAAGGAAGAAACCGGCGCCATCGGACCTGCTCATCCGTGATGCACTGGATCTCCAGTTTGTCCCCCACGTGTGGAGCCAGGACGCTTTGCACCTCCTCCACCTAAAAACACACACACACACACACACACACACACACACACACACACACACACATATTTATATCCTTGTGGGGACATCTCATTGATATAATCAGGGGTGCACATAAGTGGTTCGCAGGTGCGCATTCGCTGTCAAAATAAAAGACCCAACACGATGAAGTTGCAATGTGCGTTTGCGTACATAAGATTTTCTGGAGGAGGACAGACATTTGTTTAGAACAAATGGTGAAGAAGCTCCTTTTAGCAATTACTCTGGTGTTCCTCCACCTCCAAAGAAATGTCAGGAGGAGCCCGAACTGCAAAAGAAGCACGTATTCTCGGAAAAGTGGTTGCAGGAGGTGAGCTGGCTTAAAACGATCACCATGATGAGCCTCCACGTGATAATTTTAGACTTCTAGTTTAAATAACACATGGATAATATTTCAAAGCCGACCTGCTAATTTCCAGTTCTGTGGTTTTATTGATGGCTTTGCATGATTCTGTGTTCAGAATAATCCTACTTTAGCTCATACTGGGCTTCACTTCATATGAAACGAGATATGTCGGCTCCTCCCCCTTAAAGTCAGCTGTTATTCTGATTGGCTGCTCCTCGTAAGCAGCATATTTGGACAGCAGGTGGGTGACACAGTCTGCAGCCTGAGCTTTAACTGATGAGCTCATTATCAGAAACTTTGGTTTAATCTGAACCTCTAACCGTGGAACAGGAGCTGTAAGACCCGAGAACAGCTTTAAGGTGTTTCTGACAAATGATCAGCAGAGTTAATAAAAGGTTCCGGTTTTTTAACCTTTTAGAAAAAGTCGGAAGTTGAGTTTGGCTCATGAGAGGCTTGAAAAACCCTTCCCCAGGTCAGAGTTGGATTTGTCGACTGTTACCTTGTAGGGTCGCTCACAGGACGGAGTGATGCCGGCGTCCTCCAGCAGGCTGCAGACACAAATAAAACATCACTGTTCGTTTCAGAGCTCACCTGAGCAGCTGTGTGGCGTAACTGGCGTTTCCACGGCGCACAGATGGGAACGTGAGGATCGACCTCGGGGTCTCAGTTTGAAGAAGAGCTGAACTCACCTGTGGATGTCGAACCGTGCTCGCAGTTTGACGCAGACCTGGAAGTATCTGAGCGGAGAGTTCATTCCTTCCACGCACGCCGCGCTCGCTCCGTGTTTCCTCCACTCGTCCCTCCTGACGCACAGAAACACGCTTTAGGAAGAGAATCACAACCCGAGTGAGTTTACAGGGTCACGTTCTGCTTCCCCTCATTTCCTAAACCCTTTTACTCACCTCCCTGTACCTTCATTTCCTCAAGATGTCATTTGCTTCCTTTCCTTCTTTATCCTTCCTTTCTTTTCCTCTCTCTTGTCCCCTTATTTCCTCATTTCCTCCTCTAACCTTTGTACACCATAATTTTTCTTCCTTTTCTATAACCCTAATTCCTTCCTTTATTTCTTTGGTTCTCCCCTAATTTCCTTCCTCACACTTACTCTTTACTTCCTTCACTCTCACTCTCTCTCTAGGAACATTTTTCCTGCCTTTAACAAACCTTTCCTTGCCACCCCCCTTGTTTCCTTCCTTAACCTCCTAGGACCTGGCGTCCACATATGTGGACATCACATTTTGGGTTGTCTAGACCAAAATACTAAATTTTGCATGGGCCTGATGTCCACTTACGGGGACGTTATACTGCCGCTGTTCTATCGAAATTTAAAGCGAAGTGGATCTCATTTTCCCAGAAACAAAGTCACGTTTGTTTTTACATTCTTTCTTCTTCTTTTGTCCCTCGCTGGTGCTCGGCGGGGAGGTTGTCCACAAAGCCACTACGTCGCTGTGGGTGCCTTCCAGGCCTTGTGGTCTCTTGCTTTCACCTTTGCTTGCTCGAGGGTTAGACGTCGTTGTTTAAGGTCATCTTCAATTTGCTTGATGACGTCTTCTTGGGCGCATCACGCTTGACTCTCCAGACGGCGGAGAGTCTGCTGCATCAAAAGGCGATATGACAGGCGACGGTTGCTCATGCGGCACATGTGGCCAAACCATTGCAGACGTCGCTTCCTAATCAGCTCTTCCACTGACGGCTGCTGGTGACGTTGACTACGTATCACGCTGTTGCTGAGACGATCACGGACGCTCGGAGAATCTGACTCTCAAACAGCGCATCTGGAAGAGGTCGTGTTTGAGGATGACCCAGGTCTCCGACCCATAGAGAAGAATGGGCAACACCAGTGTACGGTACAGGCGGATTTTGGTGGTGAGGGTGACGTTTGTCTTCTTCCAGACGCACCATCGGAGGGAGGCGAAAGCCGCCGCCGTTTGACCAATTCTTGAATCTATTTCCGCTCTTGATGCCACTTTCTTTTCTTGGACCAGAGAGCCGAGGTATTTGAATTCCCGCACTTGTTCGATTTGCACACCTTTGAGATGCACGGTGGCTGGCGACCCGGCAGTAGTAAGGACTTTGGTGTTGAGACCATGTGGTTGAGCAAATTGGGTGATGTCGTGTAGAATATGTGTAGCCTCTGCATCATTTTCCGCAAAGATGGCGCTGTCATCTGCTAACAGCAAGTCGGTTGCAGATTGGTCATCAGCATACTGGACTCCACAGCGGCCGTTGCAGGTCCTGCCCATGATTGGATCGATCACAATATTGAAAACATTTCACAAAGAGAAATTAAAAATGCATGCCATGAAAGAGTTCAGGTCTTTTTGTTTGTGACCTCCTCTTTTCCTTGAACTGCCTGCTTTCATTTCTCATCTTATTTCCTCACATGAATGATTGTTTCCTTTCCTTCCTGAAGTCTTGAGACTAACAACTAAAAGCTCAAACTGACAATGGATGTGTTTGCAGAGGTCATAGATTGAGTTAAAAGTAGGCTCGTATTTCTGATAGACTGTCATATAATGAGATGTTAGAGGCGTCGCCCCCTGCTGGACATTGTGTGTCGATGAAGGTGAGTACCAGAAGTGGAAGTTGGACTTGAATCTCACAAATGACGGCCAGAGTTCAGTCAGCTCCGCCTTCAGCTCCTGAAAAACAAGAACGTCAGTGTTTGATGATCACTGCAACAGGAGCCTCCTGATGCATTTGCATTTATAGAGGCAGAGTCTATCCGGTCTCTAAGTGATGAATCCTGCCTCTGGGTTTTTCACATGTTTTAATGCTTTGTATCTTGTTCCGTTTAATCTGAACCAGGCCCTAAAAACAGTCAGTGATCACTGTCGGCCTCTGTGCATGTTTTCCCATTTAAGTTATTTCCACGTTTGTTTGGAAAGAAATGAGGGCTTCCTGAAGACCTTTGCACAGTGCTGCATAACCAGGACTCACCTGGACGTCAGAGGGGAACATCGGCCAGCAGTCGCAGCGGTTCTTAGCGTGGAGGGGCCTGCAGGCACAAACGCAAACAGCCAATGAAATCAACAGGACAACCCAGGATCAATAACACTGATCAGTCTGAACACTGGGAGTAATCTCAGCTGCTGCAGCAGGGTGGGGTTACCAAAGGCCGTGGATGGTCCAGTTGTTGACGGTTGGAGGAATCCTGCAGAGACTCACGTTGTTCAGAGACTGAGGGACAGACAGCATGTTAGACACCACAGAAGAAGAACTCGCCACCTTCCTGCCTTCTTTTTCCCTACCCTCTCCATTCCTACTCTCTTATGGCTCGTTTCCTTTTCAGCCTCATTTCTTTTACTTTGCCTCTTCCTGGTTTCCCTTCTTAAAGGACACAAACACGTCATTGTTTAAAGGATATTTTCAGTGTGTGTATTTATGTCTTTAGCTCTTCTTAAATTTGACCGCTGCAGATGTTTCAGAAGTCGCAGCTTTTACTGTGAAGGGGAACACCACCATTTCCTGATGCACAGCCCAATGCTCACCTGACAAAACGTGCCCGGCCATTGCAGCGTGAACATGAGGCACTTCCAGGTGCAGAAATTGTGGTTGTCCAGGTCACCGTGGCCATATTTGTAGTCCTCCCAGAGTCCTTCCTGTGTCACAATGATGCCAGGCAACAGGAACAGAATAGCAGGACTCAGGCTGACCAGCAGGGGCAGCAGTGAGCGGTGCATCTCCTCCAGACTGCAACACAAAACAGAGCTGAAGTAGAAATGTATTTTCCAATTACTCTCCTGAGACCAACTATGCCCTACACCGCTGCTTCCACTGGAATCAGGTGGTGCTGATCATCATCCGTGTGAGCGGCAAAAGCAGAGGATTTGGCAGCTTAAGGAGGCGAGACTGTTGCTCCATCAGTCTGGGAACCGTTTCTGCAGCGAGAGATTATTCACAAGCAGGAAACTCACCTCGAAGTCAAAGCATCAAAACCACAAGCTCCTTCTCAGACTGTGAGTTAGCAGGTGAAAGGTTAAAGTTCACAGAGCAGTGTGATTAGTGAGGCTGTTTGGGAGGTTTGCAGCACGGCTTAAGTTTGCAAAGCTGCTGAAGAAAACACAAGACTTCAGGATCAGACCAGACCGGAGGCGATCGCTCTCCCTCCTGCAGCACTTTACCAAACATCACGGCGCTGTCTCCTTACCTGTGTGTGGTGATGGAGGCTCTGAGGTGGAGCTGGGCGGCTGCAGCTGCTGCACTGAGCAGCTCTGACAGTTTCACTCAGATATTTCTCAAAAAGCAAGAAGTGAAACTCAGCTCAGTGTTTCTGAGATTAAACAAACTCTGAGTGCTCAGGGGAAGCACGGGCTGTGCTTCACTTCCCTCCACCTGACAGAGGTGGAGCAGTTTAAACCCTGGGTGGCTGTACAGCCTCCGAGGACTTCTGCTTTCACTCAGCAGGTCTTCATGTTCCTGCTGCCTCTCACTGTAACCCTCGACTCGCCTCATGTTTCTGTTTAGCTGTGGAGGCCAGGTCACCCTCCATCATGCAACACAGATGTTTCTATTCTCTTCTAATGTACTCGAGTACATTCATGACAATCAGAATTTAGATTAAGGATCATTTGTATTCTCATGCACTCATATTATATTTAGCTGTGCATTAAAATAGGTGCTAGCAACGTGGTGCTGCTTCTTACTTCCTTACTCTGAGTACATTTCACACTCGGTACTTTTTCACCTCTACTTGAGTAAAGAAGTTGAATGAGTACTTCAGGTTATACTGGAGTATTTTTAACACAAGTATCTGTAATTAAGTAGAAGTACAGATCCCTCTGCCATGAGATCCCATGAGTGATGGAAGCAGGTCAGCCGAGCCGGCTGCAGGACTCGGCACGGCGGCCTGAGAGGAAGGCTCCCTTCTGTGTGCTCGGCCTCATCAGACTCTTCTTACTGAGTGCCTTTTAGCCCAGAGTCGTTCCCTCTGTTTGTCCTGGTAATTCAATTTAGTTTTATTTACACGGCGCCAAATTACAACAGTCACCTCAAAGTGCTTTATATTGGAAGATAGACCCTACAATAATACATACAGAGAAACCCAGCAGCCAGATGATCACCTGGGAAGGAAAAACTCCCTTTTAACAGGAAGAAACCTCCGGCAGAACCAGGCTCAGGGAGGGGCGGGGCCATCAGCTGTGATTGGTTGGGGTGAGAGAAGGAAGACAGGATAAAGACATGCTGTGGAACAGAGACAGAGATAATTAAATGCAGAGAGGTCTGTTAACACATAGTGAGTAAAGAAGAAACACCCAGTGCATCATGGGAATCCCCAGCAGCCTACGTCTATTGCAGCATAACTAAGGGAGGATTCAGGGTCACCTGGTCCAGCTCTAACTATATGCTTTAGCAAAAAGGAAAGTTTGAAGCCTAATCTTGAAAGTAGAGATAGTGTCTGTCTCCTGAATCCAAACTGGAAGCTGGTTCCACAGAAGAGGGGCCTGAAAACTGAAGGCTCTGCCTCCCATTCTACTTTTAAATACTCTAGGAACAACAAGTAGGCCTGCAGAGCGAGAGCGAAGTGCTCTAATAGGGTGATATGGTACTACAAGGTCATTAAGATAAGATGGGGCCTGATTATTTAAGACCTTGTATGTGAGTTCACGTCTGAACGTTTTTGTCTTAAGGGACACGTTAATAGATTCCTCTTGACATCTGGACCATAAGAGCATGACTTTCAGATGCTGTAGATAGTTTATTTTGTAGGTCTGACACTTCCTCTTTTCTCCTCCACTTCCTTTTTTGTGTTTCAACTAAAACAATGTTATTTGTTACTGACAGAAAAAAGAGCGTAAAGGAAGCTGTGACGCACAGACACACTGCTTCATCCCTTGAAGCCTTTAATGTTTGAATGATTCATGAGAGAAAAACAGAGTTCCACAAAGTGGGAGAAATGTTGCTCAAGAGCACTTAAGCATTACGCCAAAGCCCGACTGCTTGGGTGGCTCAAGACTTTTGCACAATGCAAAGCTGCAGTGTCGTGTTTACTTCCTGCCGAGCGCAGACAGTTTGGCCTCTGCAGCAGATCGTAGTTTGGCAGCGTGTCAGAAACACTGAGACTCTGTGTGTGTGCGCATGTCCTTGTGAGGTTGAAGAGAGGCAGCACAGCTCGACATGAATCACCTCGTGGTAACTACAGCTCTTCTTTTTCTTCTTTTTCTCACACTTCTGTGTGTGCGTGTGTGTGTGTGCGTGTGTGTGTGTGAAGCTTCGGCATATCTAATGTGAGTTAGACGAGCTGAAGGGCAGACAGCGCGCAGGGCGCCGCGATCAGGCCTGACCTTTGGATCAGCAGCTCAGGTTTACTCCGTCTGCATTATCAGTTTTTAACGATAGAGGATCTGTTGACGGGCTGCAGCTGTTTCCACCTCGTTTCTCTCGCACACACCTGTTGCTCACCTGTTAGTCACACAGTGCAGCAGCACGTCCACAATGACGCACACACAGCAGAGAGAGAGAGAGGCTGTTTGCTTCAAACGTTCCTAATATTCTGTCCACCGCACTAACACAGGGGCTAGAGCTGTTGCATTGTTTGGTGTTATAGCACCTGTGTGTGTGTGTGTGTGTGTGTGTGTGTGTGTGTGTGTGTGTGTGTGTGTGTGTGCAACATGTGACATGATTTTAAAGGCTCGTGAGAAGTGCTGGTGAGAGCTCTGAGGATCAGATCGAAGGTCACCAGTTTACGCAGCAGTGACCTCTGTGAGCCAAACACCTGCACGACGCTCTTAATGTGGCCGCGTGACCGTCAGCAGACAGCTGGCACAAAGCAGGGGTGTCCAACATAAGGCCCGGGACCTGCAGTTGGCCCAGCACAGATCGAGTTTAGGAAAATGTGAAGGGGGGCTTTGTTCCTGATAAAGACCTGAACCGCCAACCATACGTCACCAGAGGGATGTTATGGAAACCAGTTCTTTACATACAGTGGGTCCACAGTGGGTCACATTCACAGGACAGTCAGCAGCGTTTCTATCAGAAGAGACCTGCTGTTGAGCTTCGATATCTCATGATGGCCTTAGAAGGGGCGGGGCTAAAACAGCTTG